CCCATCAAAGCCTAAGCACTCAAGACTGTAAGTGAGGGCAAATGACTGCTGCTGGTTTTAAACAGGTTTTTACAGGGAAACCATTGAGGAAAATAATGTTTTCCTGTTCTACTCGTTAGTGTAAAATCCATTCCAGATAAAAATAGCACTAAAAGTAGTGTTTCACTCCCAGGAGGTTGAGTAGGTTGAGGAGGTGGAAAAGGGCAGGGGTGAGGAACAGCTGTGAATACTTCCTTTTAATTTTCACATTTAATGAAAAATTAATGCATGTCCCATTACATCAGGTATAATCTGCACTTCTCTGCTCTGTATCCTATTGCAAATCTTCTTTCTTGGAGTAGATTAGCTAGCAGCAAATAACTCAGAAAAATGCCCTCCCTTTATTTCATGAAGTAACCTATTCACTATAGATCTTGTGATAGCAGGGGTGACATTTAAATCTATGCAACTTGCATGTACAGAGCCACAAGGGGATTGTCCTCCCTCCTATCACTAGAGTGCACACAACTCCCGATGTAAAAATCCACAGAGGAATATTATGCTTAACTTGGCAAACTTCAGATACGTCCTCCTTTTTTGCCCTTCTGCACATGCCAGAGGTATGTTTTCATAATTTCTATAAATCACAAGTGACTATAATTTTTTTATAACACCTCATAAGAACCACCATCCATTTCTCCCATATTCAATAGTTTTCCAAAATACAAAAGCTGAACTTACTCAGAACTGATATGCAAGACATTTAACCATTACACTAATAACACTACTGGTTAGCCATATTTTCATAATGGGAACAAATTGGAAAAATAGTTAATGAATATAAAAAAAAAAATCTCAGCACTGCTTTGCAAACCCTCATTTCTTGTCTTTCCCATTTTACCATTTAAAAGACTCATTGGAGACTCAGAAAATATAGAGGAAAAACGTACTTGAGAATAGTAAAAGATGATAAATTATTACATATATATAATAATCTTTACATTTAAAGAGAAAATATGTGACTATAATTCAAAAAACAGTACTAATAATAACCCCTATTTCTTGCTTTGTGAAATTTCTAGAAGAAAAATCTGAATTTCTAGAATTAAAAATCTGTCATTGTATTAAAAAGGATACTAGCCATGGAAAATACCCATTGGAAGGCACAACCTCGGGTTCACTGTCTCCTAGAGAAACTTTAAACATTATGTGTAAGTTTTTCTGGAGACACAGAAGTAGCTAACAATTGCTGTGTTGCCATTCAGTAACAGTGAGAGATTAGAAGAGATTAGATGGAGTAGAGGATGAACCTTTTGTTATCAGCCTGATTCTAAAAATTCTAGGGACATTAGAGGATTCCCATGGCTCCTCTGGGAAGAGGACTCGGACTGTAATGAAAATGTATGGAGAGGCAAAGATCATAAGTATTCATTGTAGGTCTTCAACACCTTTAGAAGTTCCTGAAAAGTTCTAACTCCCATCCATGTTGTTAGAAATTGTACCCAACAGTATCTTTAGTGTGGCAGTAACAACAATAGACTTTCTTCTAATGATCTCACAGTACTGAATTTAATTATGGTTTACATAACACTCATACCATTGCCTAAGACTGCAAAGGACGTTGTCTCCATGTTACAGAAGTGTAAACTTCAGCACAGAGAGCTTACAAGAGACAAAAAAAAAGATGGAAAAAATTTAATGAAAGAAACAACAAATTTTTATGCTCTGTGCCAATGCCAACCTTCTGCTTTTTGGAAGGTGATCCTATTTTTATGGGTTTCAGGAACATCACTCTTGGAAAGAGTCACATAAATGAGTGGGAAACTGAACCACTGGAGAAACGAATGAATTACACACAAAGAATTCTCAAATGTACAAATTAAGCAAACTGAAAAACAGATGAACTTTCTTTAATCCTCTGTGTATAGATGTTACTTCCTCAAACAGATGATGAAAATATTCCAGGCAAGACATAAAATTACTTAGTTGAGAATGCCCATGAAAACAAATCTTTGGAACAAAGAGAGGTAAAGGTTGATCCTTTGTACCTGTCAATGAATCTCACCATATCTTTGATATACCAGGTATCCATTACATAGCTTCTAAATGAAAGATTAGGTCAACAGACTGGAAAAGTGTCCTCGGTGTCAGTTCACAGTACAGAGAGCAACGCACAGAAGCACATTTTAAATGCATTTTCCCAAACATTTGAAAACAATTAAATTGCATGGTATGAATTGGATGTAGAAAAAAACCCAACATATCTGCATATCTGAGAAATCTAGCTAGGCAAGGGATTAGGGAAGCAGGACACTGGTGATCTGTAATTCCATCTCCATGTAGAAACTGTATGTTCTTTCTGCCAAACTTTGCAATAAGAGATACTGCTTTCCACACTTAGTTCCTTATCTTCTTAGCTGGAATGGTGTTTGAGCTGCCTACACTGCAACATCCTACTGACTCCAGCAACTTGAGATTGTTATCCTGGATTCTATTAGCTGGAGGTATCAACAGATACCTCCCCACAGACAGCAGTGGAGTTACTAGGATGAGAGAAAGAGTCTTTCTGGCTACATCTGCAGCCACCTGCCTGGAAAGCTCAGTGCCAAAATACTGGAGGGGAAAGAGATAGAAGGACACTACAGGACGAGGCAGGACAGGACAGGATAGCATGGCACAGGACAGATGGGACCGCCAGGCATACCTTGGACAGCTCCTCAGCATCACTTCAGCCGGCGAGCACAGGACGGTGCCACACGGGCAGCGACAACCTCGTACAGGTGATATTTAGAGGGGTATGGTAAGCACAGGGCACAGACACAAGCAAAGAGAAGGGTGTCACGTTGCTCTTCCCTTCAGGGCTTAGTCACCTGGTGTCTGCTTTCTGTCTCAAATAACTATTGCCCTAAGCAAAGCCGGTTGGCTGGCAATATGCAGGAGACAGCACGACAGGGAAAAGCGAAGAATTGGAGCACTGTGGAAAAACGTGCAGGGAGGCTGGAAACAGACATGCTGAAGGTAAACCAAAGAGGGTGAAAAGATTAAAATGGAAGACTGGAAGAGCTGGATATCAGAAAAGGATAAGGGAGGATGAGGAGGAGGCAAGAAAAGTAAGAAACTATGTAAGAAGGAGTGAACAAGACATTAAGATAGAAGAAAAGAAAGAAAAGGTGTGTAGAAAATGGAGTGATAGAACTGGGATGCTGAAATGGCAAGGAAAATGGGGTAAACACGCAAAAGAGACGTGAACAAGAGATGCACAAACATCTGGAGAGCACAAAATAAAATGAGAACATACAAAAATGTGTAGCAAGAACACACAGAAATGTGGAACCCATATTATGGGTAGTGATACCTGCTCCTGGAACATCACATCAAATCTCCAAACACTACATCTATACCCCAAGACAAATCAATATTTACTGTTTCATCCACTAATCCATTAACAGATGAATGGATACACTTTAACTCCTGGAAAAGTGTTAGTAATTTCCATCCTCTTAACAGTGATCATAATCTTGACATCACAGTGATACAAAATGTAGCATTTTAACCTGTCTAATTAGGATGATAGGGGCATTCATTGCTTTAAACTTTGCTTTCACACCATAAATAAACTGGCTGATGATAGCTAGGAGTCATAAACAATTTTCATCTGGTATCCAAGATGGTGATATGGTTCATCTGCATATTCATCAAGTGGCATACAAGTAAATAAAAAAGTTTTGCTGATTACTTGCCCTACTTCTTCTACTATAGTGAAATTCATAACGTTAGGATCTTCCAACATCAAGTCAGATTATCAGAACTTAATTCCAATGAGAATGAAAGGAAATATTCCCACACTCTTATTTAATTATTAATTAAATACAGAATTTTACATTAAAATGGTAAACTCTTCTGTTGCCAAAGCAGTGTATTAGATACAGAAAAAACAGCTGAAATAAATTATTGCCATTAGAGAGACAGATGAGCCCATCCAAAGAACAGTAAAATTAAGTATTAAGCAGTTACAAAAATAATACTGCCTTCATCTATTTTCCTTGGGTTTAGACATGTAATTTGTCACTGGTCACAGTTTCCTATTTATCACAAGAATTTGTATCCAGAAAGCATTCTACCAGAGCAGGAAGGCAAATAATAGTAATGAAAAACACATGAAAATTACATTCTATCAAATAAGTACTTATATTGATGTTCTGTTATCAAAGCCATTTAAAGTCCAAACAAATAAATCCTTCAATCAATGGGAATTCCTGGGAAAGATTAATAAAACTACACTATTTTATATTTGAATTAATTTGGAATTAATAAATTTTGTTTAAGTTTTGCTTCTTTGAAAATCCAACAGTTTTCTTTTTAATTTGAGTTGGATTAAAGATATAAATAAATATATTTCAGTGTATATATAATTCAGGTGTACTGCTGAAAACTGGGCAGGGTGACATCCCTTTATCCACAGTATGAAGAGAGATTTTAAACAATTTCTGATCTCTAATTAAGCTGCATATCAATTTGAAATCCTAGTACCTAAAATGTTGTGGGTCTTTTAAAGTAATATTTCAAAAGAGGAATGCCTTGCTTTTCATGGATTTACAAGTGTTTGGATGAAGTTAGTGTTTTAGCTCAACACAGTTTTTACCCAAGCAGATCATTAAGGGCTCCCTTAACCTACAGTGTTGCCTCAGGCAATGCACAGCTCCTTGCTTCACAGTGAACTGACAGCTGTTTGTCCATCAATGCCATTTACTCCCATTGGGTTCAAAAGGAGCTTCTCACCTTTTGTAGCTCTCATAGATCTCACCACCTAACTCATAAATCCACTCCTCAGGTTGGAACTGCCTGGGAATGGCAGCTAAATTTTGCTGGAATTTGGACTACACAGCATCTCCCCTCTACACATCTACAAAATTAACAATAAAGACTAAGTCGCCTCTAGTTATGAGCAAAACCTTAGTGCCTCATTTCTTACACTGACTGCACAGAAACCAAAAAGATGTCAGATCTCCCTTTGCCTCTAGGATGACGGATACACTGCAGACGTCGAAAGCCAGCAGCAGAATTCTCCACCAGCCAGTCTACAAGGCAGAGGTCTGCAGAAGATATGGTTACTAAGTGTTCTGAATGCTTCCAGAGTGCATTGCTGCAGGCAACAAAAGTGAGGTACACTTGAGCTGCTTTGGTTTATTTTAGGTAACACTTTGAGCTGTAATTTCCCAAGATTTTATATGTAGCTATGTTCTTTCTAGAATGTGTCAAAGTCAGGAGCAACCACCCAGGGAAGGCCAGGTGCTAAATGGAAGAACATGAAGCTAAAAGCATTCATTAAGTCATCAGATATGTTTAATTCTCTGTTTTTCAACATTTCTTTTTATCCTACCACTTGTGCTTACTGGAGCAGCTACACAAAACAAGAACTTATTGCCACGCTGTGCTGTGAGCTGCAGGCATACACAGTCTCCACTTCTGCTTGTACTATTGCAAAATCATCTTATATCTTCCACATATTCTGAAAACATAATGAGCTGCAGCAGGATAGTTATCTGGGACTGAATCTGGGACCATCAGCAATAACTGCCTACTCCCAAATGCTATCTGAAAAATCTGCAGTTTTTTGTAGGCATGTACCAAAAGACAGACTGAACTTAGATGCAAAATTGACAATTTGAAAATTATATATATTAAAATGCATATGGTCCCAAGCAAGTGTAGAAATATCTATTTACCTAAATGAATTATTTATTAGTAATTGATTAAAAAAAAAAAAGACAAGTTATTCCTGTCTCAAGAATGAGTACAATCACAGAAAATTACACCCATTTAACTCTCAAGCACTCATTGTACAGGCACATCTGTGAGAAGAATATGGCCTACATCACTCAAGTCACAAAAAAGCATCTCCATTTTTTCTGCAAGTTATGCCTAATAGTTACAAACCTTAAAACTCAGTGAAAAGCCATAATGGCTTGAATGTATTTAAGTTATTCCAGTCTGGGGGGATGAAGAATTGCACCAAGAGAATCACCACCTTACATTATTACAGTTGCCATTACACCTCTGTTCAGGCTTTGCACTCTGAACATACTTCTGTCAGACGAAAGTCTGGAAGTTTCTACAAAAAATGAACTTGTCATAAGAAACAAACTATTTGATACAGGAAAAAAGATGACATTTAACTCGCTGCATAGGCCTTTATTCATTGGTAATGTACAGAAACTGTACATTACTGTAACTGGAGTGCATCCAGTTAACTGTGTACAACTACAGTCCATGAGACTACACCTACTGTGCATGGGCAGTATCACTGATCTTCGTGTGTGGGTAAATCCACGTTCCCGGGAAGCACTGTAGCTACTGAATGTGTGCAGACAGATGGTGGATTCCATCACATGACAAGAGAAGGATTGTAATTTGCAATTTTTCATGTCATTGGAAGCACTATAGCTTTAACTATTTGGAAAACTAAATATCCATTTCTGCCACTGTCATTTTATACTCTGTGCTAGTAAATATCCAGAGCATCCCAGTAAGCTGAAGAAGCTTGCCTATTTGGCACACCTCTGCTATGCAGGAACTATTGCTAGAGGTAAGTTTTTAACATCCAGTGCTAAATCCTCCGTTATTTTCAGTACATTTACATCTTTCTACATTATTCTGAACAGGAATAATTAACTGTTCCCCTTTTATGGTGAACACCCGTTGACTGTTTGCATCTACATTCCCATTGTTAACAAACTTTTCTACATTTATTTCAGCAATGGTTGATTTCGGAAGCTTTCTAAGCATGATCACAAAGGGGCTGAAAGCCACCTGACAGCTCTTCAATCACACGTTACAGAATCAAGGTATAAAATTATTGTGTACCCTCTTATACTTTTGCCAGTCTTTATTTTCTAAAGAACACTGTCTCTGTGAATATTCAACTAGTTTTTATAATCCAGGTATTTCTACTCAACTTATTCATAGATCAGGTTTTTTTCTACTTTTAGTCTAATAAGATGATAGACTGATTCTTGTACTGTGCTATTTCTGCACACCATTTATTGATAATGAGTTTTTCTGCTACCTGATTATGTTGATTTTTTCAAAGAAAATGTTATACAAATAATAAAATAGGTATTTCATGGATTTTCCCTTTCTGTTAGTTCAGTCATAGAGTTCTCTGGTGCTATACAGTATAAATAGTTAATCCTGATATATATTGAGTGCTATTGTGGAATTGCATTTTTAGCCAAGGTGACTTCATTCAATTATCACATTGGCTTGAGACCTCATAAATACAACCCCCCCATATTTATCTGCATATATACATATAAGATGTGTTTTTATGCCTTGGTTTTAATAATTGACAGTGAAAATTAATATTTAATGATGGGGGACAGAAGTTTTCTTCAGTTGTGAGGCCACCTAATTTGTGTCCTTGACAATGAACAGCACTATGATTATAGAATTCCAAAATAATTGATGTGCTCATATGAAAGTTAATATTGGACTTCAATATTGTAAAAATAAAATATTTTTGTCACTTTGTGAATTTGGATCATCTAAGAACACTGAATATACACATTTTAGCATTTTAGATATCTTTTCTGCCTATGAATAAGTCACTATCCTGTGTTTTTACAATTCACTTGCTAAATTTCCTTCTCAAAGTCACATGTGCAATTTGCCTTTTTTCTCACAGAATTTGAAACATGCATTTTTCATTAAAATTCTGTATTTTGAGAAGGAGGTTATTTTAAGTTAGAAAAACATGACATCTGAGTCTTGGATATGCCAAAACTATGTTCAGAAGCAAATATGTGCAGTGGTTAGAAAGGAATGGATTAATAAATATCAACAGGCTATTGAAGTCCTAAAAATGTCAGACAAGTATACCAGCCTTTTTCTCACATGCTATTTCATACAGACTGCAGGGCGAAGAGGATTTCTGCTGGGACTTCAGCACTCCATTTAGACAAATGGGCTTTACTGTTAATTGCATGACTGCAGTTTCTCATTCAACCTCTGCCTGAGCTCATGCACCAAATGGCCGATATTTAATTAGCTGGTGATAACTTGCCTAGATTCAAGCAAAATATCTGTGACAGGTCATCGCATAATAATCCAGATTTGTGCTTTATTAATATCTGCACGAAGTTGCTTTAAAGAGCCATTGATATTCCAGAAACAGTCTGAGATTTTCACATTCTGACATTTTCATGCCTTCATGCCTGTAACTAAGATCTTAAACAGATGTATGCCAGTAACCAAGAATCCACCATTATCAGCATCGAAATAAAAGCAGACTGGGCATAATTAATATAGTGGCTCACTGGGCATATAGCAAACATGGATTCTTTTTCCTGCATTCCACACCAGCCAGTCACCAGGCAGCTTCACTAAAAAGCCACATAACCACTCAGTCTGTTGATAAATCTGACTTAAGGGGAAGCAGCTCATAGAAACCACAGTCCAGCACCACACTTCTGAAGCCACATAGCTGGCAACCCAAAACTCGCTTAAGGTGAGAAAGCACAGGCATGTATGCCTGCAAAATACTATGTAGATGTGTTCATCTTTAAACAGTATTTAAAGCCACAGAATCAGAAGAATGATCCTAGTATGACTCATGAAAAACATGCAAAATTCATTACCCAAACCAAACACGACAGTGGAAAAGGCAGCAGGAAAGCCAGGGATCATTCAGAGTCATCTGCTACTTTAAAGCTGTGACCTATATCTGGCAGGCAAAGACAAGACACTAGAAGACAGAGCTTTACAGCAACAGGAGATTATTAGGCATAGTGGAGAAACAATTGCTTGTTGCAATTACAACTTCAAAGCAGAATTTAACTCTCCCATCTGCACCATGGATCTCTTTTGTATGTTTGAGCTTGTTCCACTATGAATCTCCCAATGCTGTCACATGCCATCTATCCAAGAGTACTATGTGCTGCTCACATGGGATCTACAGATGGGTCAAAGAGGAAAATTTTGCCTGATGAATTTTGCATGAAAAAGCAGGGGAAAAAAATCTTGCACTTGAAGGAAGCTAATGCAAATTTAATAATTAAAGGGATGCCCTCGATATCATTCAGCTATCCAGTTTTGCTATATCCTTCAATGTTTCCCTTTCATAACATTTACGAGGTTCATACATAAGGTACCTTGTTAGGATGCTAGAAAAGATGTTGCCGTGTTGTCTGACATGGGCCTTGTCCTGGGAGCCAGAATTTTCTTTTCTCCAAATAAATATACTAAAGTAGTCGCACCAAAGATTAGAAAGCCTGCTCATGAAATTCTTGTAAAAATGTATTTGTCTTATGACTATAACAATCTTTTAAATGGGTAACTGTAAAACAAGCAATGTCCCCTCATCTTCTCGGGGCAGATTTACTTACTGAATAACATGTGAATTCAATACACAGGGGAAATTCCCGCAACCAGACATTTTCCTGAGAGACTAGGAGGGAAGAAAGAAGAATATATATACAAACACACACTGCTGCATATCTGAATTCTGATATGGCAAGCAAAGCAGAACAAGAAACATCTGTCAGTTCTACACAGCAAAGCCCAGCTCCCATATGCCACTCTTTCTCCAGAGAGGATTACTGTTTTAATATGCTGAGTTCACATCATCTATTCCACACAGTCAGTGGGCAAACCAAAAACAAAAAATCCATCTATATAATATGAGTGAACCCTGATCCATGCACACAGTCCCAGAGGAGGCCTTCCTGCAGGGAAATTGTGTGGTGACCAGGGGAAAGCAGGTTTTCTTAGGCTACTAAGCAACAGTAAGTGCAATTGCAGCTGCTGCTGCGGCCTCTGGCCAAACTTCTGCTTACTACAAACCCCCCAGAGCCACTCTCTGACCAGGGGATCTGCACAGCCCTGCACTCACCAGCTCTCTTTAAATCTTTGCCATTTTATTCCATACTGCTTTGCAAGTGGGTTTATTCAGTGATATAGCACTGGTCCCTGCTTATGTAGTATGCTTTCTGTTCCCATGGAAGCAGTGAAACCATAGCCATTGCCTGTGTCCAGCACCTACCAAAGCCTGGGAATAAAGGCGGGCTTTGCTGCAGAGAGAAGAGAGCACCTGGATAAAGAGATGAGGACCTGCAGTTACATTTTATGCACTTTGCCAACACAGTAGACTTTGCTGGAAAATCAAATCACGTTTCTAATAACTGTGGCAGCTGCTGTCTGTCTGACAAGTACAAAGAAAGGTGTTTTCTTCACCTAAAGAAGCTTCACCAGTAATGCTTCTTTAGGGGGGTAAGGTTTTGGGTCAAACTGAGCTATTAAAATTCAGCTTGCAATCACCAGGGACACCACTGATGGCCAAGTTTTCTTTTTGTTGACGGAATAATAAATTGCTCTTAAAAACTTATTCCAGATGAGTCAGAAAAGGCCTATAGTCCACATCTATGAATTTCATCTTTTATTTCCCCAACTTCTTTAAATGTTTCCATGAACTTGATTGGTTTTGCTGAAGCAAAGCACAAACAAAAAATATTATGCTTTATGCTCACATGTTGCCATGTTACAGAGATTGCTTGAAGCTGGGTAAAAAAGCTGTCAGTGCTAGTGCAGATCCTGTACATATGACTATCCTGCACATAGATGCATTCATAAAGTCACGCATCACCACACTTTCTTGTAAGACTATCTTGATTGAAATGGACAGGAGGTGTTTTCTGAATTAGTTACTGCCAACACATTTTCCTTTAGGAGATCATATGGATGAGCCACTCATTGTGGTGGGCTGACCCTAGATGGACACCAGGTGTCTACCAAAGCCACTCTATCATTTTCCTCCTCAGCTGGAGAGGGGACAGAAGATCTAACAAAGGGCTCATGGATCGAAACAAGAACAGGGAGAGATCGCTCACCAGTTACTGTCTTGGGCAAAACGGACTAGACCGGAGGAAATTAGATTAGTTATGACCAATTTATTAATGAATTTATAGCAAATCAAATCAGAGTAGGATAATGAGAAATAAAACCAAATCATGAAACACCTTCAACCCCCCCTTCTTTCTGGGCTCAACTTTACTCCTAAATTCTCTACCTCCTCCCCACTCAGTGATGCAGGGGGATGGGTTAGGGTTAGAGGGGTGTTATGGTTAGCTTCACATTGCCTCTGCCTTTCCTTCCTCCTCACAGGGAGGACTCCTCACACTCTTTCCCTGCTCTAAGTGTGGAGTCCCTCCCATGGAAGACAGTTCTTCAAAAATTTCTCCAGTGTGAGTCCTTCCCACAGGCTACAGTTCTTCACAAACCGCTCCAGCGTGGGTCCCTTCCACGGGGTCACAAGTCCCGCCAGGACCCTGTTCCAGCACGGGTTTCCCACAGGGTCACAGCCTCCTTTGGGCATCTATCTGTTCCAGTGTGTGCTCCTCCTTCTCCTCCGCCTTCTTCACTGACCTCAGTGTCTCAGAGCTTTCTCTCACATAATCTCACTCCTCTCTCCAGCTGCAATTGCTGTTGCACAGCAACTTTTTCACCTCCTTGACCATGTTATACCAGAAACATTACCATTGTTGTTAATGGACTCAGTCCTAGTCAGTGGTGGATCATCTTGGAGCCCGCTGACATGGGCTCTGTCAAACACAAGGGAAGCTTCTGGCATCTTCTCACAGAAGCCACCTCTGTAGTTCCCCTGCTATGAAAACTTTGCTGCACAAAGACAATACACTCATTTACACAAAAGCAATTTCACACTGTTCTATCAGCATTAAGGGAATTTAACAAGGATATAAATGTATGTTATACTCATTTGAAGGCTGCTTATACTTCTTAAGCAATCCAATGAGTTTCTTTGTAAACGGGAACCAATCCCTTAATTTCTTATAATTAACTGTCAAAATAACTGAATGCAACAGCACTCGGGGGAGTTGTGTGTTTTCAGGTATTAATATATAGATGAAACCCTTAGTCCAGAAGCCATATCGTTGCACTCAGCAAGGGATTTTTCTAATTTTCCATCAATATTCATGTGTTCAAAAGAGGACACACAGCAACCTAAATATCAGTCTTGAGAAGCAGAGAAGAAATATTCTTACTCCATTATGTTAGTTCAGGACACAAGGTCCAAATGCCTGCAGCCCTCTCTGGATACTGCATGGTGAAGAAAGGTACAGAGCCTCTGCATTGATTCCATCAAGTGCTTCCCTCTGAGGCTCAGGTAGATAAGAAGGGGGCTAGGAAGGCATTGCTGGCAGCAGAGTAAGGCTGAAATGATGAAGTAGCTGTACCTTGGTGACTTACTCTATAGCTAAGTCTCAAAAAAGAACCTAAGTGAAAGCCCAGAGAGAAGGGTAGGAAATGCACCCTAGCCACGTCCATACTTGCCCATCACTTTAAGACTAGTGTGAGACAGACATGCCACACTCTGGGACCGAGGCATTGATTATCCTTTTCCTCCCCTGTTTGACTAGATAAAGGGCAGAAATTCTTGACAAGGTCTGTCACTGACAAAAAAGTGACTGCTTCACTTCAGCGGACTCATAAATAACTCCTAACTCCTTCTATCAGTACACTCACAAAATAGTGAGCAAAAATCCCAGAGAATTAGCACAATTCTTCCTGCCCTTACAGCAGTCACACAGCTTGCATTGCATCCTTCCCACCAGACACTTCTTTATAATGAGAATTTGTAGAATAGAGGCTGGATACTGCCTTGTGTTTCACTGTGCCTAACTATCACAGATGCACTCTTAATTGGCTTTTAGGCAGTACAATGACAAAATATACTTACTAGTAGGAGTTTCTCCAGTTTCTAAAGTTACATTACAATGTGAGTTTCTCGGTTCATTTTACCGAAGAAGTATCCTAATCCCCCTGCTCTCGCAGAATGAAGCAATCGTGTGTGAAACAGAGGCAGAAAAAGTACTCTTGAGTAATTTTTATTAGTGTGTGCTGATGATTTTTCAAGCCAGATTCATGATTTCACAATAATCAAGGCTCAAGTTGTAAATGCAACTCTAAGTGGATATCACTCATTAACATTCTCCCCAGTAAAAGTTACATACTTGACAAGAGCAAAATCTTACTACAGCTCGTCAAGACTTGCTGTTTTACTTGGAATAACCCAGTGGCAAAGTTAACAAAAAGGGACTTTTTTATTCAAAGGCTAGACCACTGATGGGCAGAAACCACTACCAGACATCCCCACACTAGTGTAATTTCCTGGAATCTAGTGCTGATAGACAGGCACAAACCTCCTCTGCTCACAGCTCTGCTGCTCCCAGCAACCATTCTAGCCACCTCCACTGCCTGGAATCCCCCAACTTGCCTTTCACAAGGTTACCAACAAGTGCCCTGATTCCCAAGCCAGCAGAAACTCTGGAAATCTTTCCTAGCAGGGTTATGACAAGAATATGTGTTGGTATGGCAACACATGTTGCAGCTCTGAAAAGTCTTTTTCAATGATTTGGAGTCAGACTACAGATTTGCCTTCCACACCTGCCTGCAGGCAGGGAGTATGTTTTTGATTTTACCCTCTCATGAAATGTCTTTGCTTGTCTGCTCAGTGCAGAGCATGGATTGGCATATCCGCTCTGGATAAATGAAAAGAGAACAGCTAGAAAAGAAAAGCGGCTCATGACAATTTTCATCTCCATTGCCATAGCAGCCAAAATACTAGCAACCATCTGAACAAGAACAGCAGGTTATTTCCCATTTTCCCCAAAAGAGGAGGGACAGGAAATAAACGACTGCTTGAGTCACACTTCTTGAACATTAAAGCTAAACACCACAATGCAACAAGAAACTTACAGGCACAAGACTTTTGTAGACATCATTAATGCACTACAAAGAATGAAAATGCTATCTTGCACAGAGAAGTCCTGCAGGCCTCATCCAGGGTACCTCTCACTGACATCAACAGGAGCTTGCCTGAGAAAACGCTGCAAACTTTGATCCATAAATAGGATCTCAACACGTTTCACCATGGAAACAATTGTTCAGGTTAATTCTGCTCTCTTCAAGACTGTAGCAGGAATTGCACCAGATACTTCACAGATCAGAGGAATCACGTGCCTCAGTATTGCACATGGGGTTGAGGAGCTCAGTTTGGCTCAGTCCCAGTCACACCACACCCCCTGACTGGCGCTGAGGCTGGGGTGAACTGTCGTTAGCAACTTGGTCTCAAAAAGAGTACACCTGCAAGAAAACATTGGTCGTATAGGAATGCGATTCCCAGGGCCATTCTACTAATCTGTTTCAGAAAAAATATTTCCTAGAAACAAGATAAATGCCGCAGGCTCCCCACGGAGCGTCCCCAGCATCCTCACGCCCGCAGGGATCCTGTCCCGGTCTCTCACGCCTGTACGTGTACACGTGCAAATCGCTTGCTGCAGCCAAAGCTTCCTCGCCGGGGCTCCCCCCGCACCCCCGGCGCGAAGGAGTTAAGGCTGCCGGG